AGGACAAGTGTACAAATGTGGGACCTACACCGGCACTGTCACAGTGAAAATTCACCTAAACTCCTCACACGTAAGATTGTCTGATTTATCTAAGATATGTAAATGAAATAGGTTGCAGATCTGATTTGCAACATTTTGTAAGGTATATCGCAAATTCTCTTCTTTAAAAACTATATTAAACCCAAAGAAAGAAATTATTTATTTATAAATGAGTATCGGGGGTATATACATCAGGTTGAATTTACTTTGCAATAAAGACATTTTTTTTAATTTATTAAATTTTTAATCGTCAATAAGTAGACACTAGTGTCGCTGAGGTGTTAAATACAATTAAAAACTCTAGTTGAAAAAAATTGCTAACCAACGAACACACTTTATAGAACTTTTCTCTCCTCTTACCCTGCTAATTTCTTCGCAGCCATCTTTAACATTAATACTGCAAAACATATCATTATGTCAGGAATAAAATTAAGAGCATTATCTCTTTGTCATTTGCTTCTAGGATCTACCCCCCGATAGAGTAGTACTTTTCTCCCCGTATTACCAGTAAATATGTAGTAAATGACGACCGGTACATGTCTTTGTTTTTGTTACAGCTAGTGTAAATGCTGACATAATATATCGTGACTCTGTTCTGATGGATCAGAAGTCCCTGCTTCATGCGTCCCACAGAACAACATTCCTGCTGATAATGCAGTTTTGAAATCCATGTTGTCCAGCCTAGCAGATATCAATGCTGTCACCTTTGTCGGTACCAGATGCGTGGCAGACGAAAGATCCATGAGTAGCCTTAGGTCAACAGCAACACATCTGAGTGAAACCAAATTTGTCCTTTGCACGTTCATGCTTCTAATCTCTAAATATTTATATCACTTATGATAATGAGAATCGATTATAGTTACCCCTTTATCCAGGGGAAATCATCTACATAATTATTAGAATCATCCAGGAGATATCATTCAGTGTAAATTTTTTTTTCATATTTCTCGCTTTGACTTTTGTTGATATGTAAACCATCAGTCATAGCTTTACACTACCTTTGCAGGCTTTTTCATGAATATGGCCAAATGTTAATGACTTTGCTTTTTCTTGGAAAAAAAGATTTTCAAAGACGTTTTTCCAAAGTACCTCTATTTCAACTTTGTGTCGTATAAATATGACCAATCATGGCTTTGCTGTTCTTGAGAAGATTTTTTTTCTCTCTAATAAAATCACAGTATCACCAGTTCTTCTGTTTTTATTTCCTAATGCGCTTCGGTGGCGGAACAACGCAGATGTTTTACAACGTTAAAATAAAACGATTGGAAAGGGAAACTATGTTGAAAAAATTACGAAAGTATTTTTTTTAATTGAACATATTTTATTGTAATAAACATAAACAATAAAATCTGGTCATTTTTTTTAATTGAACATATTTTATTGTAATAAGCATATACAATGAAATCATGTCATATTTTTTAAATTTAACATATGTTAATTGTAATAAACAAATACAATGAAATCATCTCATGTTTTTGAATTGAACATATTTTATTGTATTAAACATATATAATGAAATCGGGTATATATATTACGGCGAGCTTTCAGCCGCCAGGGAATTAGCTCTGGATTGCCTTACGCTAGTACACCTTTGTCCTTGGCCCTTTGGATATTCCTTGTTGGCCCGACCTTTAAAATATGACAAGGTTGAGGTTATACAGTGTTTATTGTCTCGTGTCCCGAGCGTAAGTAAGTATATTACAACATAATAAAGATCAATTAATTTACAAGATGTTATTGATTGATATTAATGTACAAAACATGAAATATTTATATTGAATTAAATGATCAAGTACTTAAATTTATACTAAAGATACAATACAGTGGTCCGCCATTAAATATTGGCGGCCATATTGAAAACTTACTTCCGGTTACATTTCCGGTGCTACAATTATTACAAAAGTTATGGCGTCTGATACAATTTAACAAGTGACATCATTTTAACAAAATAACATTGAACAAAATATTGTAGAAGGGAATAGAACAGTATAATTAACTTTAATAATAATGCGACGAAGTACGATATTTATTCCTCCCTGACTTAGCTTAACTTTTTAAAGGAATTTATACCTAATAATGTGATGACTAATAATTAATCTTTTACAATAAATATGTATCCTAACTATAATTGATAAATGATAATTCTAACTGTTAATATAGAATAAAACTGAATTCATAACTAAGAATGCTAAATATTTGATAAAAATATAAAATAAGTAAAAGTTTCAATACTGACCTTTAAAATATGACAAGGTTGAGGTTATACAGTGTTTATTGTCTTGTGTCCCGAGCGTAAGTAACGGGAGGGAGACGGGATAACAAACTTAAACCTTCAACCTGTCCTTTGAGAGGTCACTCAAGGGGGATAATTATATTTAATACAATTGTCATTAATAGATTTTAATTGATATCCCTAACGGAGCCTCACAAGGATAGCGTCCCCTATTACCTAGAGTTTGATTTAACTTGCCGAAGAGTTTCTCACTTATTCTGGCATCTATTGTTAAGAGTTAATCCAGAAGTGATAGCAATTAACTCAAATATGTATGATCTGACAGATGAATAGATAGACAAGCAAATGTTTATATTACAAATTAACTTTACCATTGATAATTGCCGATATGTGAGAAAGTATTACTTAAAATAGATTGTAACATATGTTGATCAAGAAATAAAGGGAACTTATGCGTGAATGTTAATCCGAACAAATAAACTAATTTATTTATTTAGAAGGTACACTTAATTCTAAATATTTCCTATTTTCAAAATCACAAACTTTTAAATAAAATTTTTACGGGAACGTTTAGTTCGTCAATACTAATTCTGGTTCAACCGTGAGCTTTCCTCTTATTGTTGAACCCAGCTTCTCTTTAAAACCTCAAGACAAAAACACGAGTTACAAATATTGTACTTTTATATAGAATCAGCATGGAATAAACTTCTTATGAGTTTGGGAACTATCAGCACCGAAGGTCTGATTCCAACTGACTATCATTTTCAACAACAAATCAAACATACTGAACAAAGAGCGAGTAAAATAAAAGGATTAACAAAAGGTATATAGAAATCAAGTATCAAACAATTATTGAGCGAATGGTGACATTTTAGCAGTATGTATATAATAGAATTAAAGATGAAAGAATAAGTGTCAATAAATATAAACAGATGTCAATTAAGGAATTAGCTGTCCAATCTCTGACTATGCCTCAGGTGGGATTAAGGCTGTGCGGAATTTATATAATTTATCACATTTGCCGAAATATATGAAAAGTTTTGACAACAATTTATACAAGGTCCGAAAAGTTAATTTACACAGTAATTTAAAATAAGTTCAAAAAATGTTGTATTTTACATCGTAACACTTGCTCCGCCTTCGCGTAAAACACGTCCTCGTGTTTTGATTTTTTTCTCTCTCAATAAAACCGGCCTCTTCTTGGTCTTCCGGATCCTTGACATCTCCGGGATTGACAACGGCTTTGATTTTCTAAAAGGACCGATTCTATGTGATCTCTGTCATCCTGCAATGTTTCGATGGTCTGCAGCAGGGCCTTGTTTTGGTTCCTTAACTCTTTGCTCGTTTTCTCACCTTCAGTCAGAATTTTCATTACATACTGGTTATGTTCTTTTCCGATCTCGTTTAATTTCCTCTGCATTAAGTTCATAATCACTTTATCACCATGGGCGTCTTCTTTCAGTTTTCGAAATTTCTCACGAAGTATGTTATCATTAGAATTCCTTGATTGTTCTTGCATCTCCTTTTTCATAGCCATATTTTGATTTTCAAGTTTTTCGATTTCACATTGCGCTTTTGATAATTTGATCGCCATATTTTTCTTCTCTTTATTTGACATGCATAGTTGGATTTTAACATTTTTCAGCTCAGTTCGTAAAGTAGACGATGTGTCGCAATATAATCGAAACTGGCTGTCTCTAACGGAATTAAATGGTAATTCTCGCAGAATTCGTTTGTTTTCGAGATACTTGCTCAGTCGTTTCATGTCTCGCGCTTTCCTTTTGCGTGGAATTACTGGTTCTTTGTGTTCGGGTTTTGGCGCTGCTTTCTTCATCTGTGTAAAACACATCCTCGAATAATGTCCAATTCTGTGACATTGGTAACACTTCTGGCTTAACGCAAAACATAAAACGTTAGGATGCACGTTTCCGCACCTTCCGCACACTGGATGCTGGCATGAAGGAAAGTTGAACTTTCTCTGTCTCCACTGCGGTCGGAAAGAATAATCCATTGCTGGTCCTAAAACGTCAGCTTCATCTGTCAAAATCTGGGGAAAACTAGCTGTGTAGCTCTTGTAGAGGTCCAGGATCTGACTACTACAAAGTATATGTAGCAGTCCCGGGTGTCGTTACCCTTAGGATTCTCGCACCAAGTTTTACGGGAACGTTTAGTTCGTCAATACTAATTCTGGTTCAACCGTGAGCTTTCCTCTTATTGTTGAACCCAGCTTCTTTTAAAACCTCAAGACAAAAACACGAGTTACAAATATTGTACTTTTATATAGAATCAGCATGGAATAAACTTCTTATGAGTTTGGGAACTATCAGCACCGAAGGTCTGATTCCAACTGACTATCATTTTCAACAACAAATCAAACATACTGAACAAAGAGCGAGTAAAATAAAAGGATTAACAAAAGGTATATAGAAATCAAGTATCAAACAATTATTGAGCGAATGGTGACATTTTAGCAGTATGTATATAATAGAATTAAAGATGAAAGAATAAGTGTCAATAAATATAAACAGATGTCAATTAAGGAATTAGCTGTCCAATCTCTGACTATGCCTCAGGTGGGATTAAGGCTGTGCGGAATTTATATAATTTATCACATTTGCCGAAATATATGAAAAGTTTTGACAACAATTTATACAAGGTCCGAAAAGTTAATTTACACAGTAATTTAAAATAAGTTCAAAAAATGTTGTATTTTACATCGTAACATATATTTTTAAACCCAATTCCCTCCCTCATTACATGAAAAAGTGTAAACATTTAAATTAGATATATATCAGGTTAAAATCTCCACTGTATACTCGTAGTAAGGAAATGATTTTTATTCAATAAGTTGTATTCTATTCCCTCGACAAACGCTCGTGAGTACAGTACACACAACTATTTATTTCCAAATTACAAACAATGACAATAAGTTGGGAAAAAAGAAATATATTTATCAAAATACTGTGAGCGCTTTCAACCATGTCGATTAGAAAAACAGCTTAGATTATAAGTTTTTGTAGAGTTCATCCAAAAATTACTTATTACTTTATATTGTTATTTTTCAAGAGTTGATCCATTTATATAAAATATTTGTCATGGTTTTGAAACATTTAAAGTAGCAGCATATTTCATGCAATAAATATTAAACAAAACAATCTGTTGATATAAAATACAGATTAAAAAACACATTACCTTATCATTATATCTCATTTAAGAAAGTTTTTGGATGTAAAACTAAACAAGTTACATACTGAACTAGGTTGTTTTAAATTTTGGACCGACTTTGGCTGGTATCTACAAAAAAAAAATAATTTAAAAAATAATGTTGAAAAAATTGACAACTTTTAAACGTATTTATATTTGAAAGTCTATATATGAAAATATGATTTTTTTAAAATGCATTCATTACTTACACAAGTTTTGGCTGAGAGTCAGGTTTTCGAACATCTGAGTAGCTAGATAGCCTAAAATCAAAACAAATGAACTCAACTATAACAAGAGCACTCAAAAATATACTTTAAGGAGGCAGTGGTTGTACATTCGAGAGAGAGAGAGAGAGAGAGAGAGAGAGAGAGAGAGAGTTACCATGAGTGGTCAACTTCCTTGTATTTCTTCTTGTTTTTACAGACGAGGAATATAATGATCCCAACAGCAAGTGCTAATGCTGTTACTAAAGCTGCCAATTTGAATTCGTTGAGTTTACAAGTTCGATCATTTAGCCCATCGAAGCAATCAAACAGGAATATACATGGGTCTGTTTCACATTCGTCAATGTCTGTAAAAATCGAGGTGTAAATTTGTATGAGGGCTGTTCAATAAATAATGTCCTGAACTGTATGACATACAATACAGATATCATATGACATTAAAATTGGCTTTCTCTCAAAATTGAATTTTTAAAGAATTTATAACAGTTCATGTGTCCACTTTTCATTACATAGTTTCATTGTGAGAAGCTGGGAAACAAGAGGTTTTCGAGACACTGCATTATAAATAAATGGTAAAGAATCGGTAAACTAGAGTGAAAATAAAAGCTTCAACAAAGCTGGTGTAAAAATGGTAAAGAATCGGTAAACTAGAGTGAAAATAAAAGCTTCAACAAAGCTGGTGTAAAACTGGTTAAAAATCACAAATAAATATTCACTGAAATATGTGACATTTACAGCAACCAATACCTGTTTTATAGACAAATGAGCAGGTGGATTTCAATGATAAAAAATTAAACATGTATAATGGGCATCAAAAATGGGTACCGTCCTTGCCAACAAAAAATTATAACACTTATGTACTGTTTGCTGAATTTCAACAAATAATACTTGATGATCTAGGATTGACTTTAAGACATATAGCA